ATATATATATATATATCGTCGATTGACATTGAATCACACGCAATATAAAATTGTTATCTGTTGTTTCCGCTGCAGGGTGAGCGCACGGAAGTAACTAGCATGATAAAACGAATCGCATGACAAAAAAGGTAATGATAACTGTCTCAAAGCTTATAATGATCCGATTCATCCTGATCTATCCTATTACTTTTTCACTGAGTCATTATCTTAACTTAAAATAAAAGTATTCTTTCTACTCACCGATAATTGTGCAACAGTGAAGTTGTTGACTCGTTGACTGTATTCATCTGTAACACATAAATACAAAGTTGCAATTATTTGTGGCCAAAACAATCAATGTTTCACAAAATAATTATATTTTATTAAATATTTAATTGAAGAATAAATATACATAAATTAAATATTTATTCTTCAATTAAATATTTAATAAAATAATTATATAATTTTTTGAAATTCTTCTCAGAGATAAGCTTTCATCAAATTTCATACATATATTATAAAATGTTATTTATTTTTGTTCAAATGTATACTTTAAATAAACAATCAAACAGACTAAGAAATATAAAAAAGTAATCTAAAAAGAATATATTACTCTCTCTCTCTCTAATTCTAAGATTACTTCACAGTCGTTCAATTAAAATTTCCAAGTTTTTCCCTCTCTCAGACTGTTTCAGGATTATTAGGTTAAGATCGTCATTACTGTCAGGTTCCTTGCATTCGCTCGATATAACATTCGCGAAATTGCGGCTAATTACGATCGCACAAACTAATTATCAAAATCGCATTACGCTTTGGACGGCACTCCTGATCTTAAAATCGATTAAGATTCGACAAATTTACATGAATGATTTTGCGATTCAGAATCAAATATTCCGTTGCATCACGTTGCGCGATATATTTGCTTCGGTAAATAGCGTTACTTACGTAAATGTCATCTCGATAAGCTTACATTACAGGTTAATAAATCGCGTGGCTTATCTATCGTTAAAGTTGTCTATCGTTCAGGACATAATCGCATGAATGTACGAAATGATTCCGTTGCGAAAATTAATAAGACTAATTAACACGTCTTACGCCGCTATATCCGTTTGCTGCGATATCGCAGCGCGAATAACAACAGGATGACGCGTCGTGACTGCATGTTGTAAACAAGTGCCGAATGCAGAGCGCCGCGTGCCAGTCCTATGAAAAATATTTAACGTATTGCAAAATAAATTTTTACGCCAAATATTGAGTTTCTCTTTTATTCATCAAATCAATTTATTAGTACACAATCAATCACAGCTTTTCGTTGGTTAACGCACAATATGGTATATATAATTTCAAATTTAAACCACTACTTTGAATAGTTATATTAATTTTTATTATCTATTTATATCTATCTATTTAATACATATTTATATCTAACAATATACTTAGATTAACTTTAATCTCGATTCGACTTACTCTTTATCGCTTTCTAGTTCTAAAATTTCTAAGAACCATAGAAAAAGATAACGAGCAAATAAACCAAGATTAAAGTTAATCTATATTGGTAGAAATAGATATAAAATACTTCAATATACTCGTACGTCGTCTTAATACACTTGCGAGCTATTAGATGCGAGATTAATTCTAGAACGTTTGACATTATCCGTTTTGTCACAGAAATAACACATTAAATATGATATGCCCGACCCAATTTTAATCGCTAACAATTTTCATAAAAATGGACATTTGTAACAATTTTTATTTAAATTTAAATTCTAGATTTTAAGGAATAATGGTAACAAGCAATGTAAGTATATCATTATGAATAAAAAAATATTATAAGTATAATAAAAAAAAAAGCAAAAGTTTAACAAATTTTTTATTTGTATTTGCTGGAAAAATTGAGGCTTTTTAAATAGCGTTCTGAAAACTAAAAATTTCAGATTAAAAAAAAAAGTATGTCGTAGTCAAACAATATAGAACATATTTGTGTACACATTATAAACTTTTAATTGTTATTATTTAAAGTTGTTCAATCGTTATTATTACTTCATTGATTAACGTTTCGTTACGCCCAAGAAAAACAGTATCCTGTGTTCAAATCTGGCATTAGCTGACTTTCAAAATTGTAGAAATGTCAATCTATAAAATAATTGATGTATTGAGTAGAAACAGTGGCGACTTAAATTAGATAAAATTATCGATTGAACACATTACAGATTTAACAGTGCAGTGAGTCGTTCTAGAATTAACGAATCGATTAATCTGATCGTCGCTAATTGTTTGTGAGGAGTAATCGCATTATGAAATAACGCAATACAAAACAACTGATGCCACTAACTTGCTCGCTCAAGTCTTGCAGCTCGATAACCGATTCCGACCACTCAAACACATACAGTATGGTGTACTGCGTGTAAAAACAAATGTCAAATGCCACGTGTCAGTTCTATAACATATTTTAACATATCTTAAAGAGAATTTACGTCAGATTTTCTATTAGTAATAAACTCGTCGATATTGGCTGTATAATTAATATCTACATGTAAGAAATTAGAAGAAATCGGTAGGGCAACAAAAATATATCAGCTAAGCTGTAAGAATCAATCAATTACACGAGCTGAAATTAATTTTTCTCAATGACAGAGTAATCATCTCTGTTGATGCCTGCTGCATCGGGCACGATTAACTGCAGAAACGCATCGGCCGAAATTACAACCATCCGGCTGGAGCATCGACGATGCACCAACGTAGAGGCGAAAAGGAAGGAAGAGCGCGATTGTCCTTGACGGAAGGCAGCGATCTCTTCTGCTTTGCTGCAGGCTGGCGTCCGCCCACCAGACGGTCGGCGGGCCCCATATTCTCCCTGCGGTCCCTCGGACTTCTTTCTTTCCTCCCTCTCTCCCTCCCACCTTCTCACTCTTTCTTTCTCTTAACTCTGGCGAGATGAAAGACGCAGTAAGACAGATAGAACCGGTAGAAGAAGAGGGATGAAGGAAGGGTGCGGGATGAGAGACGGGTCAACTCATGGAGCCGCTCCCGGAGCAGACTCTGGACCTGTCCGCGCACGGGACCTCTCAGATGAAAGAGAGAGAGAGAGAGAGAGAGAGAGAGAGAGAGAGAGAGGGGCAGCTCCGTTATTATGTGTCCGCATGGTATTATTCTCTCCGTATAGGCTGCGCCGAATTCGACATGCGGGACGGACGATCGCGTGACCGAAAAGTAGAAATTCGGAACGCTCCCCGCACTTTACGAGGTAGAATTTGCCTAATGGCCTGCGCGTTTGACGACCAATGAGTTTCGCGGTTCGCTATCAAATGCTGCTGCCCCGTTAGAAAAGAAATGGCAGAGCTGCGTGCGGCGATCTCGTACGCGTCCTCGTAAATCGTGCTTAATGCATCAGCATGCGGACCTGTTAATATTTTATACATTATGCAAAGTTCCAGTGTCGCGTAGAATTCATCTCTCGTATTCGTCTTCGTTCGTTTTGATCGCCTATTCGGATATACATCTTCTTTCCTTTCTGAGTTTATGTGATGGTTTAAATAAATTTTCAATTAATTCCTACAATTTTTTTGTCTAATATCGAAATATATACGGAAAGAACAATTTTATGCTGAAGTATCTACATAGTTTCAGATCAGAAAATAATTTTGTTGGACCATCAAAATAAGAATCTTAAGCATGATCAATGCTGCGACGACATTTTAGCAATCAGTTTGAGCGTCCTACGTAATTATTTTTAGATTTGTATTTAGTTAAATTTTTATATACTTCAGCATAAAATTGTCTTCTCTGTCAGGGTAAATATATTTTCCAATATATTTATTTATTATTTTACAAATGTCTATTTCTGCAAGTGAAACAAGAGTTGAATGTATAGAGTCGTTTGAACATTTATTTATTACTTTAATTAATATAATACAATATTAATTTTGTATTAATTTTATAAAATGCAGACTAAAGTGCACTATTAGAGTATTCAAGCCAAGTAAATTCGCATGATTGCATCACCGTTCAAGGAATCAATTGTGATCTATGTGTATATTCAGCCTCGCTGTCTGAGAATTTACAACCTCTTTCAATTTTAATTATTATTCAATTTATTCTCTTCTTAATGCCAGTATAAGGTGAATCTTAAAAATATCTAAACCAGAGTACAAACTTGACTACATCCGTCCGGGCGATTATCCATAATAGTTATTCAATGATGTATCCCTTTATGGAGCCGCTGTTCATTCGCATCGTTGGCAAAGATTATTTTCCTCTAGCTCTTTATACGGCAGAAGCGGCTTTATGCGAGGCAACTTAATCTCGCCTCCTGTTATGTGCAAGCTTCTAAGATACACGGCAGCGTATGTCATTAATGCTTATTATGTAGGCTGCAATATCGATTTGAGCCCGCGAGATGCGGAAGTCACAATGTAATTTACATTAACTTCGCAATGATCACGTAGCGATGTTACTCGTGCGGCTAATCTGCAATCTTAGCGCGCGCGGCGCGGCGTCGCGACGATGGAAATTTCCAATCTTTTGAGAACGTGCTAAATGCACGACGTTAAATCGCCGCCGGCGAGTTAACGTCGATGCACGCTCAAATTGCAAGTCATCGACGTGCTCGAGAAACTCGTCACAGATAGCTCGAGCTACACTGACGTCAACGAGAAATCGGCGCGACAGCGCGCGGATGTTCTGTTTTTGACGCAAGTTACGAAATATGTCAAAATTGCCGGAATCCCGGCGATATCCGCGCCAAAAGCCGCATCATTGATAATCCACGATCCTGACGTCACCCCACGAATAGACGTCAAGACGGCGAAAATTCAAGGTAGCCGACGTGCAGGTATTGCTGACTCTTGAATGCGTCGTACAAACTGTCGGCTCTTGACGTTCCGGCGGACGACTTTATCATTGATAATCTATGATCCCGACATCATGAAAAGCTTCGGATATTGACTATTTTCGATCGCCGTTAGAATATGGCAAGGTCTCGAGAATCATCCCGGTGCTGCCCTTTTATAACCGTAGATATTGAAGAATTTCAACGGAAGAGAGGGATGATAGTCGTTTCTCTATTGAGACGACCATAATTACAAAGTTATTTAGCGTTTAAAATTAAAAGCTTTCGCCCCAGAGGTACAAATAAATATTTGAAACTTAACGTTGCAATGAATTCTAAACTGCCTTTTACCCAAACGGAACTTTTATTTATCGTTCATTCGTCAAGATATTTAATGCCGAAGATTAAACACTCGGGATGTGGGATGGCGACGTGGAGGATTCTCGCTAAAGAAAAATCGGGCCTGAATTTATCATGAGG